ACATGGTGAAACCCCATTTCTACTAAAATAATACAAAAATTACTCACGTGGTGCAGTGCCGCTGTAATTAGCCAGCTTACTCGGGAGGCTGAGGCAGAGAAGTTGCTTGAACGGGGAGGCGGAGGTTGCAGTGAGCCAGGATCAGTGCCAGGCACTCACGCTGGCGACAGAGCGAGACTCCGTCTCAAAAACAGGAGCAGGAGCAGTGTCTCATGCCTGTAATCCCAGCACTTTGAGAGCAACATGAGACTCCATCTCAGAAAAAAAAAAAAAAAATGAGATATGAAGAACGATTGGAGTAGATATCTGTCAAAAAATATAAATAAATAGATATGAAGAACGAGTTAGAACTTACCCAAGTTTGAGAAGAGGGTGTACATCTCAGGCACAGGGAACAGATTAGTGAAGGCATGAGTTTGGGGGCCTGTGCCTAGGCTGATGTGGTTAAATAAAGGAGACTGCTTGTTCATTTTGGAAAGTGAAGGCAGAAAAGTTTGCAGAAATCAGATGAGAATTTTAGTCAGAGGCTCAGTAAGATTTAAGATGACTTCTGTTTTCAAACTTCCAAAATGATTCTCTTCTCCCTTCTCCCCTGCTGGCTACCACACATACCATTTTGTTACCCTTTGCAGCAAAATTCTTGTAAGGGCTGTCCACAGTCATCGTTTCCAATGAGTTTCTCCTTCCAGTCTCTCTCTTTTTTTTTTTTTTTTATGAGACAGTCTCACTCTTGTCGCCAAGGCTGGAGTGCCATGGCATGATCTCAGCTCACTGTTACCTCTACCTCCCGAGTTCAAGCGATTCTCCTGCCTCAGTCTCCCGAGTAGCTGGGATTACAGGCACCCACCACCACGCCCAGCTAATTTTTTGTATTTTAGTAGAGATGAGATTTCACCATGTTGGCCAGGCTGGTCTCCAACTCCTGACCTCAGGTAATCTGCCCACTTCGGCCTCCTGAAGTTTTGGGATTACAGGCATGAGCCACCGCGCCCGGCTGTAAATTATTTACTTTATTCAATAGCACCAGTTCTTTCATTCATCCACCCATTCATTCAAGTTGTTTTTTTTTTTTTTTGAGACAGAGTTTCACTTTTAGTTGCCCAGTGCAATGACACGATCTCGGATCACCACAATCTCCACCTCCTGGGTTCAAGAGATTCTCCTGCCTCAGCTTCCCAAGTAGCTGAGATTACAGGCATGCACCACCATGCCAGGCTAATTTTGCATTTTTAGTAGAGACAGGGTTTCTCCATGTTCCTCAGGCTGGTCTCGAACTCCTGGCCTCAGGTAATCCGCCCACCCCAGTCTCCCAAAGCGCTGGGATTACAGGTGTGAGCCACCGGCCCCAGCTCATTCAAGTTTTAAACATTATTGAGAGCTTGTGATATGTCAGGCACAATAGCATGGGTCACTTTATTCCCATTTTTAGAGAAAAGCCTCACAGAGGCTGAGTGATTTGTCAAAGTGACAAAGCTTATAGTGGTGGAGAATGTTGGTTCATGGTATTCCTTGCTCTTCATGAAATCTGTCATGGGCCTGGGTACCTTGTTTGGACATGTGTTTCTGTCCTGCCTGCATTCCTTGAGGTTAAGGCTGTCTTATACAGTTGGACTCCCACTTGGTGCATGAAACCATCTGCTGTAGTGGACACACTATAGCGTTGTTGATGGATTGTTCATATGGCCAAATCCTTGCTGCCCTTCCCTCAAGACCTGTCTCTCCTTCCCAAACCCAGGAAAAAATTCACCCAAATAAAAACTAAGCTGACTTGATCTGGAGGAGGAGGGTAATTTATTTAATTTGTTGACTCTGGCTTACAATTTTGTCTTTTGTTTCCATATCTGGGTCATTAGAAGCCCCTTCAATCCCATCACCCCTTTTCCCTTCAAATCAGGGCAACTCAGAAATAGCTTTCTTGGCTGGGGGGCCTGTTGGCTTTTCCTTTTCTCTCGCTTTTTCCTCATACATCAGGATCCTGGTTGAGATGGAAAGAGGCACAGGGATCAGGGAACACTCCTCTCGAGGGAATAAATCATAGGGTGCTAGGAAAGGCTAGAAGGGGATGGGGATGTGAGGGTGGAAGTGGGAGGAGGAAGAGCAGGGGTTGGAGTTTCTGGGGACCAGGACTATGGAAAGGGATGGGGTCAGGACCTTGGAAGGGTCCCTCCAAGGATGGAAGAACGGATGATGAGCAACGTGTAGAAAAGTTGAGACTGGGGACAAGGATAGGGATCGGGGAGGAGAAAACAGGTAAGTACAGGGGAGGTTGGAACTTGACACTCACATTTTTAGAATGGCAGATCTCTTGCCCAGCATCATCCTGAGAAAGTCAGGGTAGCTGAACGTCTCCCCGGAGCCACTGGACACCTCTCCAATTAATTTCTTTAGTTCTAGGTGAGTCTTGGGGACCCCAAGTTTCTCCAGCATTCGCTTCAGGGACATGATATCTGGGGGCAGAGGATGGGGATGGGGAGAAGGTAGGGAGATCCTCTCTCTCTTCTTCCGCTTCCACATCCCCATTCTCCTTCCTCCCACTCTGGTAGGTGGGCCCCCTCCCAAATCATGAGGAATGGAGCAAGTAGGAGAGACCTCTGTCTTCTTAGGCCTGCACACCCCACCCCCCCCACCCCAAATCACCCGTTTCTCACCAATATCGCCATTTCCATTAAGGTCAAACTCCATGTATTTCTCTGGGTGAGGGGAGAGAGCAGAGGGGATCAGCGCTGACTGGAGGGTTTTCAGCAGGAGATTGAGGAAGGGGTTGCCAACTAACTGCTAGGTGGAGGACTCAACGTGGAAGGAGAAGGGGCAGGCAGAGGAAGTGGGGTTGGGGAGTTGAGGGGCCCTGCTAGGGTGTAAGGAGCTAGAGGGGATGCTAAGAGAGGCCGGCCCGGGAAAGGGACCGCAGTGTGGCAGGAGGGCAATAAAGGCAGGTTCCCCTCTAGCTACCACAAAAGTAAACTTTGTGTCTCTGCTATTCCTGCCCTGGTCTTGTGGAAATCCTAACCCTCCTACCCCCAGCTCCGCCTCCACCTCCTACAGTTTCCCCCTCACCTTTGAAGCCTTCCAGTTTGGAGAGCAGATCCTCATCACTGCTGTATTTGGGATCATCTAGAAATTGCTATGGAGGGGAAAATAAGAGCCAGGGTAGGCCCTCCCCATGCATGCCCCAACCCCCAGGCTCTGCCCCTTAGTTCTTCCTTCTACCTTGTTGATCTCATCCAGCCTCTCTTTCTGCTGGGCCTTCAGCAGTCCGAAAGCTTTTCCTCCTGTCGGGGGGAAAAGATTAATCAGCCTTCATCCCTCCCTTCCTCTCTTTACCCTGACAACAGCCCAGGGACATCACAGTTGGCCTGCCTAGACCAGCTGACTGCCCTCCTAGCCCACAGCCCAGGTCTGTCCATCTCCTTTCTCCAATCTAACGCCGCTGCCTATCCCACTCTCCCTACCCTGTAAATCCCTGGTTTGGCTCATTGCTCAGCAGATGCTGGTAGAGGTGGGGAGACAGACCAAACTGGAGGCCTCTGTCTGCAGGCTCTCCTTCTCTCCCACCAGTCTTCTCAGAAGCCTTCCTCCCAAACTTCCCCTTTCCCCTCATTCCTTCCTCCTCTGCCTCCCAGACCTCACTTCCCCATCAGGTTCTGCTGACATTAGCGCCCCAGGAAGGAGGGGGAGCCCGGCATGAAATGCAGATTAGAAAATAACATTCTCCCAAATTCCTCTTAAATGAGAGCCCGGTGTGTGCATGAAACAAATATTTTGATAAGCCACTGGAGGTGTGCAGGAAGGGCAAGAAGACATCAGGGACATTTATTCTCAGGAACTGCTCTTTTTGAACAGGTCCAAGGTTTGGGTAATGGTAAGACCTTGCATTTTGTCAGGTTTCATGAGTCTGGACAGGCAGGTGTAGATAGGAAGACAAGGAAGGGCTGGCTGAATTTTTCTGCTCTGTAGGTGAGAGAAGAATCTGAAGTCTGCTGGCAGCTCCAGGAGGGCGACAAGATGGGTACAGGGTTTAGAAAGGGAGAGAAACCTTGCTCCCAGCCTGTCAGCTCCAAGGAGGCCCTTAAAAATATGGAAATCTCTAACAAAGCATTTTAGTTTGTTTATTTTAGTATGTGCAATGTAACCCTCTCATCTCCTTTGAAATCTTTAGTAAAATCTACAGAGATCAGGAATTTAACAGTTTAAGTAGATTCTTTGGAGGAACTGAAAGTAGTACTTAAAGAAACAGTGTTTGTGAACAGAAGAGCCAGGGAGTGAGGCTGACATCAGGTTTGCGCACTGCATGTGCATGCATGCATGCAGGCATGTTTGTGTGATGGGGGTGCTGGTCACTGTGGGTTCAACAGAGTGGATGATAGCCTCTGACACATGCCTCCCTAGGCATAACCTTTATCCCCTCTGCCACTCTGTTTGGCCAGTCACTTCTTGGGGAGGTGAGGACAGCACATTTCCCTCATTGAGATTTCCTTGTCCAAACTCCCTGCCCAGGGCTCCATCTACCCTGCCCTGGCATTGGTGAAGACACCTTTCCTTCTCCCTTCGCCCAACGTATTTCCTTTTCTGTAGCTGGGAGTTTTCACTTCTCACTGCCCTCTCCCTGACCCAAGCCAGATAGGAGAGATGCTGGAGTGGACTCTGGCTGCCTCTTCTTCTTCTTTTTTTTTGAGATGGAGTCTTGCTCTGTCGCCCAGGTGGGAGTGCAATGGTGCAATCTCGGCTCACTGCAACCTCTGCCTCCTGGGTTCAAGCGATTCTCCTGCCTCAGTCTTCTGAGTAGCTGGGACTACAGGCGCACACCACCACGCCCAGCTAATTTTTGTATTTTTAGTAAAGACGGGGTTTCACCATGTTGGCCAGGACGGTCTTTATCTCTTGACCTTGTGATCCGCCCGCCTCAGCCTCCGAAAGTGCTGGAATTACAGGCGTGAGCCACCGCACCCGGCCGGACTCTGGCTTCTTGACGTCCCTTTATTGCAGCTGCATTCTTCTGCTGCAGAGAGCTGCAACCCTGTACTCCCACTGTTCTCAGTGCCTGCTGGGAGGATCTCAGTTTTTCATTCATACATTCACTCAACAGATATTTACTGAATGCTTACTATATGCCAGGCATTCCTCTAGGCCCAGAGAATCCAACAAACGAAAACTTTTGTCGTCATGGTTGATCTAATTGGGGAAGGCAGACAATACAAATAAATAAGTATATTAAAGGCGCTAGGTGGCCAGGTGCAGTGGCTCACGCCTGTAATCACAGCACTTTGGGAGGCTGAGGCAGGTGGATCATGAGGTCAGGAGTTGGAGACCAGCCTGACCAACATGGTGAAACCCCATCTCTACTAAAAATAAAAAAATTAGCAGGGCCTGGTGGTGTGTGCCTTTAATCCCGTAATCCCATTATCAGGTCAGGTGACCAAGGTAGATAATTGTTTATACTGAGGCGAGTGAGGTTTGTAGGAAATGGTGGTGTCGTTTCTGCTAGTACGCCAGCCTCTTGAAATATTCTATGTGCATGGTGTGCCTTTTTGTTTTTTTTGTTTGTTGGTCTCAAATAAAAAAA